AGCAAAAAAGTTTTTTAACGCCTGCAAAATAATTCAGTACTCAGGAATATTTTTGCAACGATATTTATCACACCCTCTTACGCTCTTCCTTCGGTTAAATCCATGGAATTTACTGCTAGGAAAAGCGAAACAAAAGTCGATGATGGCAATGAACGCTTCACAGCCAAAGAAGTGGGTTCTTTGTTGTGTTTAGAAAGTACTGTAAAGGATATCCCGAATAGGTACCGCACTACACCATGAACACAAAAACGCACGAAATCACATTGAACTGCATCACGTCCTCGCCATACTTGTACATTAAGCCGGAGTATTACATCATCGGTCATTAAAAGTCCATTAGTCCACGAACATTCAATGGATTCTTGATGAATTCTTCGTCAGGCATTTTTACACTTCCGTTCGTGTGTATGAAATATTTTTCAGTATAAAAAATGGCTCTATGAGTGCCGGTAAATTTCTCAAAACATTCAGTAATCATCTCAGTAATGCACCATGTGCTTAGTTCAGACTTCAACAAAAGAAACGACTGGTAAAATTCTGCAAGGGGACAGACCAGCACTGTAAAAATCAAAAAATTATAAATGGTACTCTTTCTTTGAAAATCGATGCCAAAATGTGACGGAATTCACAGCTGAGAAATGTCACCTTAAAAAAAAAACCCGCAGATGACAGGATGGGATTGCAAACATAAATTTCAAGAATAAGCGGAATGATTGAATGATAGACAAGAATTCCGTGGTATTCTATCAGAAGTTCATCTAATTGATCGTCCTTGGATATCAAAGATGACTTGTTCCTGGTTTGACACTTTCAAAGCAAATCAGGCAACGCTTCTTTGATAATTGATACCTGATGTCATCTAGTTTTCATTGCCATTTCTTCAGAAGGCAGCAAGCATATTTTCTCGTTCCATTTTTATCCAAAAATATAGAGTTGCGGTTGTTGCATGAATTAAATGTGACACAAAATCTGCCTCTGAGCATGTATAGAAACTTTTAGTCACCTGGCCAATAATGAATGAAATTTGATTTTAGAGAAGAGACATTTTCATATTTGCAGCCTGAACTTTTTGGTGAAACCTTGTAGGTGCAAAACTGTACTCTTCTTTTTGAATGCCCCAAGTGGGAAAACTTTATTTTTATTTGCTGCACCTGGTTTTAGCAATTTTTATCAAGCCAGGGATGTGTGCTGATTTTATCAGCAAAGGGTTATGGCAGAAAAGTAATTTTGCGGAAATTGAAAGATCTCAAATACTATGCATTGTATCAATATTTTTGTTATTATAAAATTTGTTGGAAACATTGCAATCTTGAATTTGAAAAGTCGCGCGATTTTGTATCTTCAAAATTGACTGAGATATTTGCTTCGTAAGTTAGCATTGCGAATTACGCAATTGTACAAATTTATCCTTGAAGAATTTCCTGGTTTCCAGGACTTGTTTTATTGTTGAAAAGTGCCTATATGCTCATGCCTGTTGTTCTGTGTATATAAGGTGTTTGAAATTGTGAATATATCATCAGTCTCACTCAAACTGGCATGGTTGCCTGTTGTTTCAATTTTTTCCCCTCTTGACTTTAAAAAATCCAATCTTGGCTTGGGAGCTGCGTAAACGCTCTTCCACTTTGGTTTTCTTTAAATTTGGAAAAAGTCTTGTGGAATTTCTTTTAAAACCAACCACATGCGGTAAAATTTAGCCAGAAGAATAGTTGGGTTGTGTCGAAGGTTTTATATTTATTTTTACGTTTTTCATCTAATACTGTGCTCAAACCTTTAAAATCTTCGAGGCGCGGAAGTGACTAAAGCTTCGGAAAAGTCATGCTGAAATTTTAAAAATATCTGTATTTTATGCACCCTTTTTGTAAGTTGCTGTCCTTGAATGGATTACGGTACTTTGTATGTCTTCGGAACACTGGCGAAACGGCGTTTTGCCAATTAGACGAGAGTCTGGTGGAAAGACTGGATGATGGAAGAAGAACCCTCTTATGAAGCTGGTCAGCCGTAATTTAGGGTCTGGTAGAAGTCCGTCTGTTCTTCTGAATAGGATGCAATTGCCAAAGATTTGTTGAGACCCGTTGTCAACAAGAAGCAGCCACTCGCTGGATATTAACCGACTGTTCTTTTTCAACGTTGTCGTAAATTATTACATTGTCAACGATAGCTGTGTAATTTTTGTACGCGGGTTCTCCGAAGAAACGCCATTAAATTCTGGGATCATTTCTTACTGTTCATGTCAAAACTTTTTTTCTTCTAAATCATGAAATATGAGAGGTTTCTGTTTATACTGCAGAATATTTTTAGAATGCGAGTCTTGAAACTGATTCAGTTTTCTTGTTTTTCTTTACAGGTGCACTCGATGGACATGTTCGACTACAAATACCACTATGTCTTCACTTCATTTGTAAGTTTTGTTTTGTTATCTTGACTCAAAGCGCACTAGGCTCCTATTTAGAAAAGAAATGAAGGTGTTTCGGGCATATTTTACGGATGTCAATTAGCAAATGACCATCACATGAATCACAAGTGATGATATATTGTATTCCAGTTATCGGATATGTTTTCCCTTCATTTTTTTATGTTGATGCGAGGAAGTTATTCCTTGTGAACGAAGAAAGCATCACATTTCCCAATTTTGAAAAATTACGCAGCAGTGGTGTTTTGCGAGGAAACGAATTATTTTGAGTGTTTGAGAAGTTTTTCAATGCGTTCCAATTCTTAGAGTGGGTCAAAATTCATCACTGTAAAAACATTTGCTGAAGGATTCAAGGGCAACAAGTCTGGAATTCTTAAGCTGAAAACGAAGTTATACTTTGTATACTGTACAGCATTATCTGAATAACTTCGCTACGTAAGCAGGTAAAAACAGGCGAGAACCCCATTCAGAGAAACCAGAATTGTGGCTTTTTCAATGTGATGTAGGGTACAGTACTTCTTTGGCAATTTTTATGATTGAATCCAGTGTGGGACCCACTGGATTCTTTATTTCTGCATTCAAGTATCACGTGCCCCCAATCTTCCATCTAGTTTGAAAAAGGTGCGCATGGCATTAAATTTAAAAAAAGTTTTGCTCATCGTTTTTATAATTGATTCTTGATGTCTCGTTTATATTGTCATGTTTGTTGAAGGCGAGAAAATTTCCTCTCCCCTGTTCAATTCAAATGTTCACATAGATCGTTAAAAAAATGATTCGTCAATTTCATTTTCAATGTGATGTACAGTACAGTACTTGTTTGGCAATTTTTATGATTGAATCCAGTGTGGGACCCACTGGATTCTCTATTTTTGCACTCAAGTATCACGTGTCCCCAATTTTCCATCTTGTTTGAAAAAGGTGCGCATGGCATTAGATAAAAAAAAGTTTTGCTCATCGTTTTATGATTGATTCTTGATGTCTCGTTTATATTGTCATGTTCTTTGAAGGCAAGAAAATTTCCTCACCCCTTTTCAATTCAAAAGTTCACAAAGATCGTAAAAAAAGAAAAAGATTCGTCAATTTCATTTTCTGTTCTTCCCTCATTGTCCTTAGGACACAGAGGCCTTCGACATGGGCAACGTGCGCTACAACCACGTGAATGTGACGGCGTTCCGGTTCGTAGACTGGAGCACGTCGGTGTCGCGCCGCGTGATCGACACCATCGCGCTCCACCAGCAGTACGTGGTACCACGACGGTCCGGCCACGAGTCCAACAGGGTCATGTTCGTGGCGCCCGCGATGCACTACGACGCCGTGGTGGCGCTGGCTATGGGCATCCGCGCCCTCGAACGCAGTGCCACTCTCACGCCTTTCAATGCGTCGTGTCTCCATCCGCAACCCAGCCCTCAGGGCCCTACTCTCTTCAATTTCATCAATTCGGTAATTTGCAATGAAAATAACGAGCAGAAAAACACTGATCCCGACTCAAAGACTGGTAAAATCAAATTTAAAGTACCATGCGTAATTGGATACACTGTTTGAAAATTAAATTTACCATATTCACTCGTGTACCACACGCCCTCAAGCATGTAACACACGCACCTTAGCGTTTTTTAAACTCATATTTTGGAAGAAAAAAAAGTCCATCCCTTCATGAGACACGCACCTTAGTTCCAGTTACCAGCATTCATATTTTTAAAAATACATGGGCAAAAATCTAAAAACAAACACACTTGAAAGCTTCTTTACATTTTGACATTTTGGTCTCGTGCAAGTCATATGATCATTAAAAACGGGAACTTCAAAAAAATTTGAAAGGGGAGAGTTCGAAAATTTTTAAAATGTCACTTGAAAGTTTGTGCCTAACAATGACCACGTCTCATTTTCGTCCCAGTTCCTTGGAAAAAGGATGCCTGTGTTACTTGAGTACGGTAAATACAGTAACAGGTTCAAATTTGGACGAATCGCGTAATTTTTATAGCTAAGAAATATACGGCACGTTAATTTTTCTGACCATTTACCGGACAAGATTTGGGATTATTGTCTGGGCAAAAGAGGAAATAACTTATGTCTGCTTGCTCGCCTTTAATCCCCCACTTATCCAATGTTTAAATTATGAAAATTGGTCTTCGTCAGGTGGAATTCGAGGGCCTGACTGGATTGGTGAGATTCCAAGACGGTGAACGATCTGACGTGAAGCTTGACATATTGAAGCTGCGAAAAAAGTCTCTGGTGAAAGTCGGCGACTGGACAATGAGTCAGGGCATCAAAATCACCAACACTTCCGCCTTTTATGACACTGGTCCAGTCAACGTAACCCTCAAAGTCGTCACAATCGTGGTACGTGAGTTCTTCTGAATAGTTTCACGCATGCGAAAATCCCCGAAAATTACCGGTATAAGTATTCATGACTCATGAATGACCTGACTTTTTCTCAACAGCAAGAGATGCACTCTAATGCGAGGTTGAAAATCATAAATGCATCGAATAGTTCATTTCTCTGTTTTCAAATGCAATGGAAGCATGGAAAAGTTTTACGCGGATCTTGAGAATACTGTTGGTTATCATGCTAGGTGGGATATTGATTAATTCATTGCTTTGCTGCGTTTTATTTTCTGGAAAATTTATAGATTTGAGAATGATGAATAAGAAATTATTGACGATTCAAGATGAATCAGACGTTTAGCAGACCTGATTCGCGAGCAGATCAAACTTCGCAATTACTCCTGAACAAGGTCAGGATTAGTCTATCTCGGGTTTGAATTTATAAAGCTGTTAACTCCGAATTTTTAAATTTTTCAACGTCTTGAATACAAAAATTGAACCTTGATTTTGACACTACAGGACTGCACTGTTCAGTACTCTAAACCATCCGTACTTTTTTTTTATTCAAGCCAGTTCAAAAATCTCTGGAATGGTTTTATATGCGTTATTGTTTGGAATCTCGGGTTTGAGAAAGCATCTCAAGGCCTCATCACTTTTAATTAAAATTTTAAAAGCATCACCAGAATGCGAAAAGTAATTCCTGACGATGAATGAAATCACTATGGAATTTTCGTTAAACTCCGTTCAAAATACAGTACTACCTTTTCCCATGATCGCCAAAGACTGTCTTCTCGCATGAATCGGATTTTGTTCTCTCCTTCACACTGTCCCACATCCTTTTGATTCTCATTTTATGAATATAACTCCCCATAAGTTATTCACATTTTTTATCAGTCGAGTGGCGTGTGAAATCCCCCTACATACAGTTTTTTTTTTTTTTCGAGCAGTTCTTTGGTATACATCAATACGCAGTGATTTTTAAGCTTATCAGGGTTGCGTTTGGGGGAGTGTTGATCCCCGTGGGATACGAAGTCCTGAAGGCGGAAGTGATTCAATATAGCTTGAGCCCCGTTCACGCAGGTTGCTGGTCACACACGGGGATTTATTGGGTACCATTCGCGTGTCTTACCAGCGATATATCGGCTTGTTTGAAGGCTGATGGTAGGTATTCCGGAGATGGACTGCTGGGACCCAGTCCAAGTCGATGTAGGGAAATTGAGGTTGATTAATTTTGATGAATAATATTATTGCCAAATTTATTGTAATTCTTTGCCACAGGATTTGGAAGCGAGTGAGGAATGCGTCAATTCTGTCGGACTTTTGAACAAAAAGAAACGCATGAGTTTCAAATATTTTTGTGTTTATTGCACCCGAAAAGTTGAACAAGGTGCAGAACTGTTAGCGTCTGGGAAACCAAAAGCAAATGCCATGACATGCAAAATTATAGCGAGTGATCCGGTATTGCTGAAAAATTCCGTTAATTGCTCGGAAAACTAACTCGTTCGTCTCCTCCTTCAAAATTTAAAAGACGCAGATTTTTAGGAAATTTTCTTCGGACATCCAAACGAAAAGAGGTAGATCAGAATTTCCAAATAGCAGGTTATGTCTTTTTTATTGACAAATAAAACGTATTCATCAGTTTTCAGCTAAGATAATTCTCTGAAGAAAACACCGTCACGTAAAAATTTCCGAAGGACTTCTTTCGACATGCTCCGGGAAAATCGTTTTTAATTCTTGAAACTCTTTGAGAGCTGCTGGTGATATTAATATCTACGTCAAAATAATTTTTGATGGCCACAGAGCGAAAAGAAAATTTTTGAATCCGCGAAGAAAATTCGTTGAAAATGTTACCATTAAATCTAAAAGATAGCTTAGACTCCTTAGATTCTCTTCAAGTAATAACCGAGGTACTGTACAATGTGGCCTAAAAATGTTGTATTTTATTCAAAGTTGAAGAATTTACTATGTGTAGTTGTACTACCAGGCCACCCTCTTGCAAATACTGTACTGCATGAGGACTGCATAAAATTCCACGTTGCCTCAAATCTCATGACAAATTTGAAATGAGCAAAGAAGGCAGTTTAGCAGCTGAAGCTCGGGAATCTTTTGTAATTACTTCGTTGATAGCTGAATCTATAGCAACCCAAGTTGGAATTCCGGGATCTCTGAAGGCGCAAAAATTCTGCGATTTAATCTTTTGATGAGAGAAACTTTCGATGACCTATCATGATTGAAAATTGATCAATCGCAAGCCACCTCCGCGGTTAACTGATGCTGACAAATGAGGCACTCAATTGTCCCCCGCTGGGTTGAGCAGCTGGCGGCAAAGTCCCGTAAGAAGCTACATACGTGGTACATATACTACACAAAGGCTGCATCATAAGTTTAACTACAGAGCATTTCAAGCTTTTGAGAAGTTTAAATTATTACGTATGTGAAGAAATTTCAAGTCGACCCCATTTTTTTTTTTCGCGGAGTTAATCCAGTCAATTTGTCCCCGGAACTCAGCTCTTGAAGTAATCCGCTATTGATGAGTTAAATATTTTCTATGCAGCTAGGCTTGAGATGATATTTAAAAAAAATTCAAATTCTTTCCCTCTATTCTTCTCTTATCGTTTGAAACGTGACCGCATCGGAAAAATAATGTAATGCCCCAAACGAAATCCTACCGCACTTGTGCTGAATAAGCATTGAAATTGCGTAATCTCGTTTGAAAATAGTGGTAGGAACATATGCCATATGTCTCAAGCTTTGTTAATAATTAAAGAAAACCACAAATATAGAACCATATGTGCCCCTTTAAAATTAGAGACGTGGTACCAGCTCCAGAAGTGGTACTCGACCATGCAGAAGGTGGTACTGTATATGCAAACAATACCATGTCTTCTTCGGTGCGATTCACGACGGAAAAAAAGCTTGGTAATTTGTGATCGAAGTACATCACTGTATGCGGTATAGAGAAAGAATATTTTTGGAGCTAACTCAGTTCAAGAATGTTCCTTAGCTGCGGAGTCATTTTCTCCTTTTTTGTTGTTGGAATTTTACAGGTTTTTGCGCCGGTTGCATTTTACGGAGAGATATCCTCAATTTTTCTGGGTGTGTTTATCAAAAACATTTCGGGAGGTTCTTATACTGTATTACCTTTCTGGGGATTAAGTCGCCTTTATTAAAAAAATGGGCTCAATTTTATTGGGAAAATTTTGATTGGAAGATTCATTGTCGTTATCCCACCGCTCTTCACTTCCGGGTGGAAAAGGAGAAAATTAAAATCCAATGAATGACCTTAAAAACGTCGACTGTGTACATATGGACTCTCTCTAAAAAAATCGTGTCCACAACGATCTTATCTACAACGATTTTCTCTGTATGAATATCATTTGTTGTCCCATAAGGTTCTCTCCCCATGTTAAACGGTTTCTCTGCAACGAAATTCTCTCTAAAACGATTTTTTGTTCTGGTCCCTTGAGTTTCGTTTTATTAGAGAGAGAGTTCGCTTGTATATATTATATTTTAGCTATTCTCCAAACTTTTGTGAAATACCGTGCTGGCTGGGCTTCATCGTCATGGTGCGTGGAAGCATGGATGTATCCCGCCGCTCCGTGATCAATGACGCGATCCGTGATCTCCCTATACGTCGTACCCCTCGCTAAATCCGAGCCCCCGGGGCAGGGAAAAAAAGGGGGGGGGATCATCGTCTCACTGTTGCTGCGTGTGGGACTCAGAATATATGTACATCCCTGCTGCTACTGCTGCTCACGTCCAGCCGATAACGGAAAAACACGAAACTGGGGAATCAATTACACCGACCGTGATTGATCGCGCAGCTCTATATAGTGCTCATCCGCTGTGCCGGCCATCGCCAGTCCAAGTCCGCGCAAATTTCCTACAGCAGCTTTAGCTTCTTTTTCTTATTATTATTTATGTTTTTATCGTGTTTTCTTTTTCTTCGTTGTTCATTCATCCTTTTTGAGTATTTTATGTACTAAGTCAAGGCTGCCCAACGAAGACGGGGTCAAGGTCCACATTAATGCCTTTTTCTGGCCAAGGGCCACATATTGCAGTGGTCGATAGACCGTGCGGGCCACAAAAATTTTGAGGTTTAAAATTTTCCTTTTTTTAAATTGAAAGCATCGAGTTTAATTCATTGCTATGCCTTGAATCACGAGCATGGCCATGTAGAATTTTTGAAGGGAGGAGAGACGTTTTGAATTTATGAACTCCATGTTTCAATTTGTTTTTGACACCTACCGTCTTGGAAATTGTAGGGAAAATAATGCGGAACAGATGAAGAGTCTTTTCGGGCCCGATCTGGCCCGCGGGCCGTAGGTTCTGCAGGACTGCACCAAGGGAACCTACTAAAAAAAACGTGATCACGAGTCCTTCAGTGGAAAATCCGGACATTTCTAAATTACTGTATATTTCATTGACTGTGGGAACAGATTTACAAAAAGTGTGATGGAGTGTGGACGGTGAAATTGGGAAAAATCTTGGCGTTTCTTCCCCCCACCTCAGAAAAATTTCACTCAGGAAGAAAATTCATCAAGACGGATTCTTTTTTCTTTTTTTTTTTACCTGGAGTTCGTTTTACTTTATTCAGAAAAAAATGCTGCTGCATTCAAAAAAATCTCGACTTATTCGAATGACGATGGAAAATAACCTTTTGCTGCTGAAGGGCGAATTTCTTCCGTTGATGTTGTCATTTATTTTGTCTAAATGCCAAAATCCTTTGACGCTGCATTTATAAATATTACTACCTCCTGACTTGATTTTTTTTTCCTGCCAGAATGCACAAGTGGGCCAAGTATGTCAACTCACTATAAAATTATTTATGGACCATTTCCCTTGAACAAAATGTGCATTGTCTGTTCAGATACTTTAGAAAATCTGTTCAGTTCTGCGGATTTAAAAAACATTCTCATTTGCATTCCAAATCCTTCGCTTCAGGTTAGATCTGTAGAAATCTTTGAGAACTAGGAGAATCGATAGCATACCGCAGTTTAGAAAGCATTACTTAAAAAATGTGTGATTATGCATGAAACAAGCACACATTTCATGCTCTACAAATATTTTTTTGGGTTAAGACCAGACCGCGATGCTCTTTGGTAGGGTAGATTACCTTTTAAAAAAAAGTACTGCATCGAAGAGTAGGCCTTTAGGAATTTTTCTTGATCTAAATTTTTTTAAACAAGGCCTGCACTCCATTTCGTTATTTCCCCCAAATTTTCGGATCGTCGACGGGCCAAAGGAAATCTTGGCTTTTCTGGCATGCGTGGCGATTTCGCTCTGATTCACCCGGAAGTGGATCAACTCCACTTCCGGTTGACTCCTGGGGTCGAACTCGTCCTGGGTCGGGGAGACCGATGGAGATTGATCGGATCACGCTTCGGAGAAAGATTTCAGCCCAACTTCTTCCTATTTTCTTCGACGCATCCGCTTGGCTCGAGGGCGTCCGTTTGCCCATGTAAACATGCGATTCTTCTCATGCCTTCCTTTCGAAAGTGGCTGAATGCGAAATTCAATGCCTTTTTTCAACGATCGATTGCTTTCACACACAAAAAAAGATTCCCTTTGCCCAAGATGCTGCATGCGGGGATTTTCGTGGCGATGCGCATCATAATGTAAGAAAATTATCTACTGAAATTGCAAATTCATTTTCAAAAATCCGCGGGAATTACCATAAATTTCAGTTTCGTGCATTTTTTTTGTATTTTGAAAACGATTGCACAATTTCCAGGTTAAATGAATTTTAGGCTCGTTTTCTTTCAAATTTTGTTGTTTCTTCGTTGGCTCAAACTTTAATGCCAAGGATAAATCAATGGAACTACATTTAAGTAATTTCTCATTTTAATTATACTGCATAAGTGTTTTCTCTTTGAATTTGTTTGAGTAGCATAGAACATTTTGAAAACTACCTTCGAAAAAATGTGTCCCAGCAGGTCTCATGAAGTGGCTGTGAATGTTTTCCCAATTCAAAGCACCTCTGAATGTTTGTCAAGAAGACAACCAGACAACTTTATGCAAATGTGAAATTATGCAGGAACTCGAGCCAGTATCGAAAATGTTCACCATTTCAAAAAAATTTAAATTCTTCATCCAATAGACGGTTCCAGTAGATCGATGGGATGCAGTTTGATTCTCCCAGTCTTACATGTCATTAGTGGAGACGGTCCTTTTGTCAATTTTCTTTCATTCTGCTTGAGGTAATCGACGGGATGCATCACGAAGTTTCAATTCGATGCATAATGATGTCATTCCCGTCCGTCTGATGACTAAAAATATCTTCGTATCAATCAAACATGATCTCAAGTTTGGTACAGTATATGAAGCATTTAATGCGCCCATGAGTGCATGTAATTAAACGTTACTTGGATTAATGTGCTGCAGAGCTTGACGACGTTTTTTTTTTTTCTTCTTCTTTATCATAACTGAGTCGGTACAAAAATACTATCGTGGTCTGGATTGGTAATTTTTTTAGAATTTACACATCAAATCAAGGAGGCTCTCGGGAGAAAATAGGTTACATATTCACTCAAAATGGGAGTCGAAATTAGACTTGAGATTTCTGTTTAAAGCAAGTTGCTTTCCTGAAAGCTTTCAGCTTTGAATAGATCTGCGGACGAGACGAATATTTTACGCAGGACGTGGAGGAAATCATCTTCCTCTGCAAATGGGGTTTTGACTTCTGCAGGATACTTCTCGGGTTTCCATGAAAAAGTCAGAACGAGCAGACACCAAAAAAAGAGAATATGTATACTGTATAGATCTTCGGATGAAAGATGGGAAGTAGAGTACTTTTTTTTCTGTTCGCCAAGGACGACTGCTCTTTCAAGAGCGTTTTCCAGACCGTATCGGAAATATCACTCATGACTGTCGATTTGTTGGGAACGACAGAATAAAGAGAAGGTATAGGAAAAAAGGAACTCGGTGGGATAGAGAGAAAATAAAGCGTGGGGGGTGCCTGACCACCGGAACCCCGGCCAGACATGGAAACCCGGGATTATCACAGCAAAATCGTTCCTCGGTTTCCGGTCCATTGCGCTGCTTGCGACTGAACCTGTCTCTTGCGGTCCGTCAGAAAGTTCGTCTTCATGGTTTAACTCAACAAATTCAGCAACAAAAAAAGAAGATAGCATCATTCACAAACGAAGAAAAGCGTTGGCGATGATGAGGAGATTTTATTTCTTGTGGAGACTTGCGGAATTTTAACCAGCAAACGAACGCACTGTCATGTCTTGGCTAATATGAGTACAATTTATTCCAGCAAAATTTTAATTTTCTGGAATTTTTGTGAGCTGAAATAAAAAAATTTCGATCCTTTCCTCGAGGAAATTTTAAGTTTTTGCCAGCAAAAATGGTTGCAAACTGGATTCCTGTTTAAAGCCAGGAAGAGCCTCAAAAATGTTGGCAAAAAATACAGCTGTAAAACGGAAACGGTTCGGTTTTCTAGGACTCTATGCATTGCTTTGGACATAAGCTACTGCATAACTGACATCAAAAATAATGAAACCACAAAGAATTGCGGTGCATTCCTTGTGTGCTTTTTTGTCATTACTGGTTCATCTTGTGGTGCCACTTTCCTGGCTCCAGTTTGAAGGCCATGGGTTAATCACAAAAGGGCCTTGGAAATCTGACTAAGCAAAGTTTGACAATATTTTTCAAGTTACTGAGAATTAAATTGCATTAGACTTGAGAAAATTGGCCAGGGATTGGCTGGAAATTTAAATTGAAGAGGTTTTTGACTTTGCCAGATTCGACTGGGATATTTTTGTCAAAAGCATTCTTAAGGCACATAATTTTTTTTTTTTGAACACCATCGTAACCTTCTTACATCCGGTCTTAAATCGTTCGCTTTCCGCCACATTGCCGGTTAAACGTCGGTCCTTCTCTGTGACCATCACATCTCGGCCTCTATTCCTATGTCCAGGCATTATGTTTGATACATCCCGTGAAACATCATTACTATAGACGAATCGGCGAATACGAGGAATCATTTTTTACGGCGAAAAATAATCGTATGAGTTTACGATTGCCCGACTACATCATGACCCGCAAAAGAAAATATATGGGAAATAAATATTGGGAACGTCCTTTAAAATATATATGATCATTCTAGAAATACCAAAATCTTGTGAAGCGTGTACAGTATACAGTATGTGAAAGATTCAAGTATCACAGTTTGGACGAATTTTTTAAATATAAATTTTTGCGAAGAACTGCAAGTGCAGTAATACTGTGCCATACTTTCGCGAATATGACGAGGCGCTGTAGATTTCTAAATAAATCTCCATTTGCCAGTCCTTCTGAAACACTTCCAAGCATTTTTAATCAGAGAAATTCAACACGAATTACGAGGCGCACAAAAGTTACATTTCTGGAAGTACTGTATTCAACAAAGAGAAATGAAATTCTGGTTGAGATTAACAGGCTTTCGGGAAAGAAGAGGAAAAATTTGTGTCTACGTAGGAAAAATCCCAGTGTGATTTATTCATTACCAATATGAAGAAAAATATATATTCAGTAATAATTGAATTTGCATAACATACTTTTCACTTAACAGACCAGTCTGTTGCACAAATTAAGCCTGTGGTGCAGGGGTCAACTGTACCAAGGTTTGAAAGCCTTTGAGTTCAAGAGGTTTTTAATGCATTGTTTCCAAGATAATTCAGAGGGGGACTAGCAAAAAATTCAATGCATATAGAGGGAGTTATTCCACTTGGGGAGATTTGAGTTATCTATGAAGGTTCAGCTGTAAAAAGGAAAGTTAAAACAAAACCTGCAATCTGGTCTGATGCAATTATGAAACTGTTGGATGAAGGAGCGGCCGTTCATCATGATGAAACGGGAGAAGCACTTCACGGGCAACAATCGGTTCTACGGATACGGCGTAGATCTGCTAGACGCCATTGCCGCTATGATCGGCTTTGACTACACCCTGGAGCTGGTGCCAGACGGAGTCTATGGCGCCAAGGATCCCGTCACTGACGAGTGGAACGGCATAGTCCGCCAGCTCATGACTTACGTAAATCGAACCCTCTCTCTTGTCCCCGTCGTCGTCGTTTATTGTGAAGCACTTATTGAGGGTATAAAAACGTTGTCGAATGATTGGGTTTCCGGCGATGACGACCTTGTTGATGGTATCACCTGATTTACTGGAATATATGCAAGACATGCGAGCTGTAGAATAATGTGAGCAAGTAAAACGTATTCTCTCTTCTTTTTTTTCTCTGGCAAATGTCGAACAAATTCTATTGAATGTCAACGAAAAACTCCGAACGAAAACATCCATTGAATGTCAATTCCATGATCCTATTCATGCCTCCGATTTTTATAAATTAAAATTTTTTTTCTTTTTTTTTGGAATGTGCGAAGGATTTTTCTGGCAAATGTCGAACGAAAACTTCCATTGAATGTCAATTCCATGATTCCATTCATGCCTCCGATTTTTACAAATTAAAATTTCTTTTTTCTTTTTTTTTTTTTATGAATGTGCGAAGGATTTCTCTGGCAAATGTCGAAAGCAAACTTCCATTGAATGTGAATTCGTTGGTGATTCTATTCATGCCTCCGATTTTCACAAATTAAAATTTCCAACGAATTAGGATTCAAAGAAAGGCTGTTTTGAATTGGAAAAAATTCGAAAGGCTTATGTCGCTGAATTTTTCTCAATTTTTATTCGAAAGTTGCATAGTTCGGACGCAATTTTCCAAATAGCGAGTGATTCTGAAATATCAACTGTGGAAGCTAATTTTTTTCAAGTCATCTTGTAAGAAATTGTGTCTATAGTATTCCAGTGAATACGGCATCAAAACACCCTGACCAGAATTTCCGTTTTCCTTCGTGCTTCACTTCAGCAGAAGCACCTCACCTAGCTCACCTTCAAGGACTTTTCGAATCCCTTTCAATCGGGATATTTTTTTTTTCTTCCGAAAAGTCCTTCGCTTATCGTTTGAAAGCACGAAATCTGAACTCACAATGGCGAGCACTTCACGTATTTACTCATCGGTGTGACGAAAGCAATAATCGGATGCGAATTACGAAACCAGTACCGGGAGGTCAACTGGAAATTCGAATGATTACTGTGCATAATTACACTCATGTTCTTCAGTTTTTTTATTTTAATGTATTGCGCTGGTTTTTACCGGAAACGTTATTTATGGGGGAAATTGCAAAAAAATTAAGGAAAAAATAGTGAGAGAAAGGACACCAGGAATGAGTATAGCAGTCGATACTTTAACACCTGGCGAACCTAAGACTTTGAATAAAATACAGTATGACATTTATTTAACGAACAACGGCCAAAATAATAAACCTCTGATTAAAATATAATTTTTTTTTACTATAGTTAACCGCTGTGCGGTATTGGTTGTGTATACCACATGCTAAGATGCATATGACTTTTATTCGAACCCCTGCGAGTCTATAAAATTCCTAATTCGTTCATTTTTTCATTGAATTTACTCATGTGTTTTCAACATGCAACGAATACCCGAGACAGTTTTTAAAAGGTAAAGGTAACTCATTACCTGTTCCTATATTCTTGCTCCACACGTGGATTACCTATCGGAGAAAATTAATTCTGCCAAGTCTAAAATTTTGAATTCTTCTGTAAAATTAACCTCTGCGTCCTGTACAATTACGAATTCAAAACCTTGGAAAAATAATGTCATTTTTTAATGAAAAACCACTGAACGACAATTTTTATAGCTTTAAACAGTATATGCCTTAAGATAGGAACACGATGACTGATCTTTTCTCATGGACTGCGCTTTGTGGCCCACACCTGGAAGTTTTGTCGAAAAAAGATTCCGTTAAGCCCTACGTTTAGCGACGAATATATAAATAAATAAGAAACGATGAGAGAAAGAAGTTGGGGTAAAAAATCCCGTACTATGAACTATCAATTGCGAGTATTAAATGCTCAATTTATCCATTTGTTCATCAAATTTCCCTTAAATCTATCTTTTATTTACAATAGAGACGCTCTCTCTCTCTCCAATCTCTATACAACGATTTTCCCTGAATAATATTTTATTTTTTTCCCACAGGGTTCTCTATTACCCGTGTTATACGGCTTCACTGCAACGAAATTCTCTATATAGCGATTGTTTTCCTGGTCCCCTTGAATTTTGTTGTGGAGAGTTCACCAATATATGCTTGTACCCCACTTTCTTTGGAACAAAGTAAGGTTCCTTTCATGATACCAGAGACACCACTGAACGGCATATATGTATACATATATATTTATACCGTGAGATAGGAACCCAGTGACCTTTTTTCTCCTATATAGTAGACCGTGCTTTTTGCTCCCCCTCCGATCGAGTCTGGGAAGACCTGCCGTATATATTGCAGAGATTCCGTTCGGACCCGAATGAAGCGCAGTGCTGTGGGGGAGTGAAGCAATGAATAATCATAAATAAAAACAAACAGTATGAGATGCATGAAAATAAAACAAGAAGGCGGACTGATTGATGGATGATGACAGGAGCAGCCGTACGTGATGCTTGTGGACGACGGGAACGCGACCGGGAACCTGCAGTACAAGGGCTTCTGCATCGACATGCTGCGCGTGATCGCCGAGATGGTCGGCTTCAAGTACGAGATTTATCTCGTCGGCGACGGGGTCTACGGCATCCGTGATCCCGACACTGGCAAGTGGTCCGGTCTCGTCGGAGAACTCGTCGNTTCGTTGGTGATTCTATTCATGCCTCCGATTTTCACAAATTAAAATTTCCAACGAATTAGGATTCAAAGAAAGGCTGTTTTGAATTGGAAAAAATTCGAAAGGCTTATGTCGCTGAATTTTTCTCAAATTTTTATTCGAAAGTTGCATAGTTCGGACGCAATTTTCCAAATAGCGAGTGATTCTGAAATATCAACTGTGGAAGCTAATTTTTTTCAAGTCATCTTGTATGAAATTGTGTCTATAATATTCCAGTGAATACGGCATCAAAACACCCTGACCAGAATTTCCGTTTTCCTTTGTGCTTCACTTCAGCAGAAGCACCTCACCTAGCTCACCTTCAAGGACTTTTCGAATCACTTTCAATCGGGATATATTTTTTTTCTTCCGAAAAGTCCTTCGCTTATCGTTTGAAAGCACGAAATCTGAACTCACAATGGCGAGCACCTCACGTATTTACTCATCGGTGTGACGAAAGCAATAATCGGATGCGAAATTACGAAACCAGTACCGGGAGGTCAACTGGAAATTCGAATGATTACTGTGCATAATTACACTCATGTTCTTCAGTTTTTTTTATTTTAATGTATTGCGCTGGTTTTTACCGGAAACGTTATTTATGGGGGAAATTGCAAAAAAATTAAGGAAAAAATAGTGAGAGAAAGGACACCAGGAATGAGTAGCAGTCGATACTGTAACACCTGGCGAACCTAAGACTTTGAATAAAATACAGTATGACATTTATTTAACGAACAACGGCCAAAATAATAAACCTCTGATTAAAACGGAAAATTTATTTTTACTGTAGTTAACCGCTGTACGACGGTATTGGTTGAGTATACCACATATGCTAGGATGCATATGACTTTTATTCGAACCCCTGCGAGTTTATAAAATTCCTAATTCGTTCATTTTTTAATTGATTTTACCCATGTGTTTTCAATATGCAACGAAAACCCGAGACCGTTTTTTAAAAGTAACTCATTATACCTGCTCCTGTTCTTGCTCCACACGTGGATTACCTGTTCGAGAAAATCCATTCTGCCAAGTGTAAAATTTTGAATTCTTCAGGAAAATTAACCTCTGCGTCCTGTACAATTACGAATTCAAAACCTTGGAAAAATAATGTCATTTTTTAATGAAAAACCACTGAACGACAATTTTTATAGCTTTAAACAGTATATGCCTTAAGATAGGAACACGATGACTGATCTTTTCTCATGGACTGCGCTTTGTGGCCCACACCTGGAAGTTCTGTCGAAAAAAGATTCCGTTAAGCCCTACGTTTAGCGACGAAGATATAAGTAAATAAAAAACGATGAGGGAAAGAAGTTGGGGCAAAAAAAAAAATCCCGTACTATGAACTATCAATTGCGAGTGTTAAATGCTCAATTTATCCATTTGTCCATCAAATTTCCCTTAAATCTATCTTTTATTTACAATAGAGACGCTCTCTCTCTCTCTCCAATCTCTATACAACGATTTTCTCTGAATAATATTTTTTTTTTGTCCCACAGGGTTCTCTATTACCCGTGTTATACGGCTTCCCTGCAACGAAATTCTCTATACAGTATAGCGATTGTTTTCCTGGTCCCCTTGAATTTTGTTGTGGAGAGTTCACCAATATATGCTTGTACCCCACTTTCTTTGGAACAAAGTAAGGTTCCTTTCATGATACCAGAGACACCACTGAACGGCATATATGTATACATATATATTTATACCGTGAGATAGGAACCCAGTGACCTTTTTTCTCCTATAGTAGACCGTGCTTTTTGCTCCCCCCTCCGAGTCTGGGAAGACCTGCCGTATATATTGCAGAGATTCCGTTCGGACCCGAATGAAGCGCAGTGCTGTGGGGGAGTGAAGCAATGAATAATCATAAATAAAAACAAACAGTATGAGATGCATGAAAATAAAACAAGAAGGCGGACTGATTGATGGATGATGACAGGAGCAGCCGTACGTGATGCTTGTGGACGACGGGAACGCGACCGGGAACCTGCAGTACAAGGGCTTCTGCATCGACATGCTGCGCGTGATCGCCGAGATGGTCGGCTTCAAGTACGAGATTTATCTCGTCGGCGACGGGGTCTACGGCATCCGTGATCCCGACACTGGCAAGTGGTCCGGTCTCGTCGGAGAACTCGTCGACAAGGTCTCATCACCACGATTCATATGAAAGAAAATTAAAAGCAAGAACGAACCACACACTCACAAAAAATATATATATTATCAGTCAAAAGGGGAACTTGGGAACGAAGAACAAATTCGCATGTGTAGCAAAGAGGAATCATTCTATCACGATTCATATGAAAGCAAAAAACAAAAAAGAAAAGTAAAGCAAGAACGAACCACACACTCACAAAAAAAAATATTATCAGTCAAAAGGGGAACTTGGGAATGAAGAACAAATTCGCATATGGAACAAAGAGGAATCGTTCTATTCTTTCTCATTTTATTTTACTCTTATTGAGTGCGGTTCTGGAATAATTTTCCGAAAAAATATTACGCATCCGTTTTTTGCACGCCAAAGTGTCATTATCTAGACAAGAACAGTCTTTATCCTGAAAATCGAGACTTTACTGCGATAAACTGACGTTAACAATTACTGTACAGTAGTTGAGAAAGTATCATCTTGATTCATTTAAAAGAAAATAAATGAAATTAAAGTTATACGAACGGACCCACAAAAAAAAACAGTCGAAAAGGGAAATTTGGAAAGAAGAACAAATGCGCATGTGTGATGAAAATTATCCTTTAGTCCGTTTATTATTATGTATTTGATTCTTTCTTTTATATTGGATACGGTTCTGGAATAATTTTCCGAAATACTTATTATACGTCTCCATTTTTTTTGCACGTCACGGTGTCAATGCTCTTCATTATAAATAATAATCGTACCTATCCTGAAATTGAGATTTGACTGCGATAAACTGACGTTGAACAGCCATTGAAAAGATCTCATCATGATTCATATAAAAAAGAGGCATGAACATAAAAGCAATGACGAATACAAAAACATTGAGAAGTGAACTTCGGAATGAAGAACGAAGGCGCATGCGTAATAAATCCGCCTGTTTCATAATTGTGAATAATTTTTAAATAATTAATATTAAATACGGTTTACAGTAGAATGATTTCTCAGAAAACCAAAGACTCTCTTGCATTTTGCAGTCCTTTTTAATTTTGTATGCGTCATTTCTGCATGTGCATGGTATCATGCAGTATCAACTTCTCCCTGAATGAATCAACAATCAAGAAAGAATCGGCAAATTTCCCCGCGAAATTATTTAATAATCCTAGAAAATTTAAACTTTTAACTTCACTATGAGCATAATTGGATTACGTGATCGCAGAAGATCTGTATATACTCAAAAAAGGTTCGGAAGCAGAAGTTTTATGAATGGCATTTTCCAAAGCATCGCAAAAAATGCTGTGCTACCATGTTTTCATTAAATTTTTTTAAACTTATTCAGAATTAATGTTAGCTGTGAAGTTGTTTAATCGTGTTAAAAACATAATTTAATCCAGAACCTCCTTTCTAAACGAAAATCGCTAGATTGCTTTCCGAATTTTCCTATTACAGGCACTGCAAATTTCATTCCTTGCGTGTGCTAAAAGGAAACAACTATTATATTGGATTTCGTGAGAATCTATTACTCAATTACTTTATATATTATTTTTATTTTCTCATTGCCGAGGTTGAGTTAAATCCACACAATAACTGCATTCCTTATTTTTTCAGGAACTTGACGGTTTAATGGGAACTTTTTTCTATTTCAAGACTTCAAATGATGAATTCGGCTTTTTGTGAAAATTACACGATATTATTTTTACGTGACGCATGCAAGTTCGTGAAATAATCTTGTGTTTTGTGTAAAACAGATTGGCGCATGCAATTATTTCAGAATGTTGATGCATGAAACGTTTTACCATACCGTGTATGAATGACTCTAAAATGTTCCGCGATGAATTCGCGGAAACAGAAGAAAATAATTTTACAACACCGATAAAAGAGCTTAGTTTCCAGCTTGATCGGATAAGTAAATTGGGCAGAATCTCCCACATCGCGATGCGAAACCTTTGACTCATGAAACTGGCTAAACTGGAATCTATGACGAAGGAATGGAAATTTTTTTTAAAAACTGGTTTTCGAAGAACAGCGAAGCTCGTGATCCTCAGGCAACACGTTTCAGTTGACTTCAGACGAGCAGATCAGGATCCGGAGTTATCATCTTTCTTTGTCTCAATCCAAATCTATGCGCATTTTTCTCCTTCAGATTGATACCATTTCCACCAACAGCATGCCATATACTGCGGATTCCTGTGGAACGAATTGGAAGACTTCATTCTATTTTTGGATCGCTACTATTTATTGCTGGGGGACAATTTTTTGTCTTACGACTTCGGCATAATTTTGAAATATTTTTGGTTATGAATGAATGATCTGCCTTGCTGTGATAGCACCCGAACGTTCAATGCATGAAGCACTTTTAGGAGTTTTAGTCGAGAATCAATGATCAATTTAAAAATTATGTCTTCCTCTCTTGGCACGTGTCACGTCGAAATATTTTGATAAAAATGCACTGTAGAAAATTTGCAGCAGAACTCGCAATCAAGTAGTGCGCGCTTTTTCTCATACAAACGAAAAAAAAACAAGCATCTAATGAAATGTGTCTTCGAATTTCTAGAAAGCCGACCTCGCTGTTGGATCCATGACAATCAATTACGCCAGAGAAAGTGTGATTGACTTCACGAAACCTTTCATGAACCTCGGAATCGCAGTGCTTTTCAAGGTAAGTTGTTCGATTTCATTAAATTCGTCAAACAATGACGGATTTGCTTTATTTGTGATATGCCGTCGACGCAAAAAACGCATCTTAAGAGAAAACTGCTTTTTAATGCACGTAAGACTATAAGGCTCGTACTTCTCACGAATTACGCATTGTCAGTAAATATTTTTTCAAAGACTAAATCCGAAAATTTAAAGCCACCTTTCAAGGGCAGTAAATCTCCAAGCACATTATATTGTGATGAAGATAAGCTCATCACTTGAATTTTTACTTCGAGTGAAATTGGCTTGAGGAAAAATATAAGAATAATCATGAGACTATAAAAATATGACCCCTCAAAAGTGAAAACGATCCCAGATTCTTAAAGCTATGCTTCTATGAGTAAGTTTTCACCGCTTCGTTCAGATCACTTTCTTTTAAAGTTACGATTGCTTTTCAAAATCTTGTTGATGAGTTACATTATAATATGGTACCTTGAGTGGATCGCGCGATAAAATAGACTTTCGTATATACATCTCAAGGAAACGTTGATTCCGATGAAAGGCATTATGTACTCTTATTTTTTCAAAGACAAAAAAACGCGTTTTATGTTCGCGTGATGAGCAGAAAAGTTGCCGTGGTGGCTGTAAGATTCAGAGGGATGATTTGCTGACGACAGCATTACGTGATGAAGATACTATACGAGCACATAGTACTGACCACATCTATTGTATTCCTTCTCTCTTTTTTTTTTTTGCATATATATTTTTTAGGAAAAGCATATTCCGTGCTATGAAAAAATATTGATGATAATGATGATGATGATCGCAGATACCAGAACGACAGCCGACGCGGTTGTTTTCGTTCATGAACCCCCTGGCGGTGGAGATATGGATCTATGTGCTAGTGGCGTATGTGCTGGTGGCGCTCACGCTGTTCGTCGTGGCGCGGTTCTCGCCGTACGAGTGGTACAACCCGCATCCCTGCATTTTCGAGGACGGGTTGCTCAAGAACCAGTTCTCCTTGTCCAGTTGCTTCTGGTACGCCGTCGGGACACTCATGCAGCAGTCTGACATCAATCCAAAGGTTAAACTCTTTTTTTTATTTTAATCATTATTTCCGAAATACTGTATTATTTGAATGGCCCTTCGATTCGTGCCAAGTTGGGGGACAAGATTTGATTCTCATCTTTCTCAATTGGAAAAAAAATCACATGCAGTAACTATACGAGGGTTCCAACAAAAGTTCTCGGAGTAGCAATGAAAATGGCCTAAAGTTCAGCTGAAATTTTTTTTTCTTTAGGGAAGACATATTCTTTGGCACACAAAAAAAAATCAGCCCTGGTTGTCAAATTTTTTTGCATTTTTTTTCATAATTCACCCTGGCAGAGTTTTGCTCTCCACTCAAAATATGAGGCGCCCTTTTTTGTTGTAGCCCAGCTTTCCTACAGGAAGCCTGATTTTATACTGTACGCATTTAATTTTGAGAGAAGTTTTGGCAAAAATTCAAATCAAACTCGACTTGCGCGTCTCCTTGAAATTCCTTCCGGGGTTTTTCGAATGACTTATCTTGATACATATCGCTGTAAATTGCCTTTGAAAAATTCTTCATCCTATAGCAAAGTGATGAAATCATTTTTTTTGGCATATCGTAAATTCCTGTGCGGACACGTGGAAAATTTTTCGACGCACTGACAAGAGAGAGAAATAAATCAGTCTCCTCAAGCGTGGTTCTGCAGTATTATACCAACTCCCATCGACCAAACTGTCCTACGGCACTGTTGAAGATGCTCCACATCTTGATGGCAGAGCTGTATTTTCCCCGAGTTGTGAGATATGGCATAAATTTAATGACTGCATTCGACACAGATCTGCTTTCATCCATAACTTCGAAAGTTATTGTAAAATTTGAAATCCACTCGTTTCGAAGCCAAATGTCGTAAAATGTTTAAACGCTGCTGTCTTGCCAGCAATACAGTCGACTATAGATGCAGCCCGAAGTCCAAAATATGAATAGAACAAAATAACAAAATGAATTTTCATCTTGGCAAGAACGAAACCTCTCGGGAAATGCACCAAATTTATAAAAACTGTTGTGAGTCTCTCCCAACGTTTTTTTTTATTTTAAAGCTTTGATAACAAAAAAAATGCATTGTGCCAGGCGAAAAATATCTGCTCGTTGTGAGCCTAATTTTAAATAATGCACCTTCATATAAATGCGTCGATGAATGAGACAAATTGTCGAACCCAAAAATTTGAATACAGTATTGGATGTCTGAAGTGGCTGGAATTCGTTATCGATCGATTTATGAAAGTTCTCGAAATATGCTTGCGTGTCGGAAATCGGAGGATGTGTTTCAGAATGGTCTATCGAACAGCCGAATATTTGAAATTCATCTTCCTTGTATCATGTATTTTGATCGATGAAGCCCGGTTTTTTTATTGAAGAAAAATTCATTATCCGGCGAGAATCGAACCCTTCTTGAAAAATCTTTGCTTATATGAGTCGAAGAAGATTCCAGTTTTGCACCGTATTATTGTCCTCATTCGCTGTCTGAAATTTTTTTTTGAAAGAACCGCATGAAATTCAGGCTTATAATTTCTAGTTATTCGGAGAAAGCAGGCATTTTTGATGGATATTTTTTTGCATAGTACTCTTCGATGTTATGGAAACATTTGCTAGACTTCTATTTAATTTTCGAATTTTCCGGCAAGAATTCCATTCAGAAATTCTAGCCCTCATGGTTGATGTACAGTACATAGAAATTCCGTCTCATTCTCGTGAAAAATTCTTCCTCGCAAAGCCAGGGGTTCGAGAAAATTTTCGGAAGACCCCCATCACAGATGCTTTCAACATATGCTCCTCAGATCATCTGCATGCATGTAATGCGTTCCACGAGAGCATTGATTGAATTGATTTCCTTTTCGCATTTCCATTTTATTTAAAAGGCGGCGTCGACGAGAATAGTGGGCGCAATCTGGTGGTTCTTCACATTGATCATCATATCGTCGTACACAGCAAATCTTGCTGCATTCCTGACGGTCGAGAGGATGATCACACCCATTGAAAGTGCCGAAGATCTCGCCGAACAGTCTTCAATCGAATATGGCACTTTGCATGCTGGGTCCACCATGACTTTCTTCAGGGTGAGGAAAAATAAAACAGTACAGTACCTTAGAATATAAAATATCTCTATTACTCGCATTTTTATTTTCGAAGATACCTTATTTAATGCGCTGAAATCCTCCGAGAAAGTTTGACATGATTAACAGGAATTTGATCAACCCTCTGTTGATTGGTTGAGAATTTTTTTACTATCTCTGTTATCGTTTGCAGCCGTGACTTTTATTGCTTTGTAAATCCCCGCATTGAATATTTTATGGCACTTTTCACCTTCAGCATAACTACCAAAAAATTCCATCGCGTCATACAATTTTTGGTCGGAAAAAAGATTTTCTGCCCTATTGTACGGTTTTATTTAAGAAGAGAAATAATTTGGAGCAAGCTGTACACCTTGCAAGTACTTTTTGTGATGATTAAGAATTTAGGATGCTGTGGAAAAATGGTTGTTTTGATATCAGAGCTGAAAAGCAGTCTTAGGTCAGAAGAATGAAAAAATGATAGCAACACAGCAATTGGCCGGTGCGCGAACCAACCAGGGATTCTCTCCCCAACAAGCGCAAGCCTTTGTTAGCAGATCAACAAACAGAATAGAATACAAAATATGCACAACAGTTTTTCCGCCGTAAAATATGCACAACAGATTTTCGCGGACTTGGTAAATTTCTCAGAGACTTTGAATTTTCATGAACACGACGCAACAAAAACGCTTTGACAGCAAAAATCGGACTGTGTGAAGTTTAATTGAAGCAAGGTTCAATTCCAGAAATGGAAAAATAGTATTTATAAAGTTTCTTTCATAATTCACCAATTCTCTCAAGCGCAGGATTTGAAATAAACTAAAAATGCAGAGTTTTGTTTGTGAAGATAAATTTGATCAAATAGGATTGATCAGGAAATTGTACAAGACTTCTAACTTAGTTCCAGAGTTGGAAAAAGGTTTTAAACACTCAGAACAAAATAGATTTTTGCATGGTCCGCGAATTTCTGAATTTGAAGCACACAAAAAAAAATGCCCAGTGACTCCCAAACTGTGACTGTGTCTGGATCTAAAAAATCAGGGGGTTTTATGCAAAACAAAGGGGCGGGGGCACATAGTACCTGCAGGGTATCCCAGCAGCTGGGTGATGGTCACAGAAAAACACCAGGTGCTGGTGTTTTTCAAGACAACAAACTCAAGACACTTGGCGTGTAAATTTCTCTCCCGAAAACCAGGTGTCTTTCAAATTTGCTAAATTTTACAAGGCTGCACATGTTTTTGGGAGATGGGGATAAATTGTTCAAGTGTCAGTAGGAACATGTTTTTCTAGAATAGGAGACGTTTGACAAGATGCGGTAAATAGTTTTAACGTATGGAATTGTTGGGTGATACAAGCAACAGCCAAGCAGACAACGACCAGCAGCTGGCAAAATCTGGTCTTCCTTTTGTGACACCTGATCCCCTTTTGAGGATTTGACAGGAATGGGGGGTTATTTGACCTGTAGTTGACGTTGTTTTGCCCAGAGATGGGCTTGTACTTTTGTTATTTATTGGCAGTTCTGCCGACTCGTCGTAATTTGTTTAAGTTCACAGCCCCGTTGGAGGGTTGACTAGCAGCTGCAGGCGCTGTGGCGCACAGGCCACAAAGAATGCAAATTAAGTTAGAAAATGTGAAAGGATAAATAAAAGGGCGAAAAAATGAAACACAAACGCCGCCGGGGAACACGGCAGGGAGCTCCTCGGTAAGAGCTCCAAAAGGAAAAAATGCAGCAAATATATTTCGAAACTCACAAGATGCAAATTGATGCTTACTGTTCGCGAAGTAAAACAGAACTGAACTAAAGAAGGAAAAGAGAAAATGGAGGCTGAATCAAACTGGTCCACGTTGGAATTCCCCGCTGGAATTCCAACGTGGATTCTCGTACTTTTGCGAGGCTGGCGACCTCTGTCCCCCACAGGCGCGTCCCAAGACGCGACAATTATTCTTGACGAATTTTAATCTTTGCTGGGTCTGTGTAGGAGAAAAAATTCCGCACAGGAAGTGTCAATGGTTAGCTCAGAATATTGAATGAGGTATTTGAAGTTAAAAGGGCCTTTAACACTAGGTTCTGACTTCTCCCCTCAAAGAGGAATGAGGGTTTTTATAGCCAGGTGCTTGGACTGATTTCTTCCTGGCTCAGGATTGGCCGATTTCAGGAAAATTGAAGAAGTGATAACCACTTCTTGTCCTTGAGTGAGGCTCAGTGAGTCTAAAAAAAACAGGATTTTTGCTAGGCTCACTGGCCTCAAGATCCAACAAGTTTTTGGGTTTGGTTGCAACCAGATGCTGGAGCTGGCTGTGGTACACCATATGCACCTTCAGTCACCAACATCCAGGTATAAGCAGATGTTTTGAAAGGGCTTAGCATGTCATATGCTTATGTCATATGATTTTTTTATTGCTGTAAACAAAAGCCTCTCTGCTGTATTGACGTCATTCTGCGCATGTTCAGCCCTTTTATTGCTGCCTCAGAACTTCTAAATGGTGCTGATCTTTGGCTTCATGTATAAACATGCAGCTTATTTGGAATTAAGATAATTTAGGATGTTTTTTGTTGTTGTTCATGTACAGTATTTTAAAATACTTCAACTTTCACATTTCTACCATCTGGATTCACATTTTCAAATCAATTGACTGATAAATGAATAAAATCACAGTGGTTTACTACCCTTGATTTTTCTCTGAGAACGCAGAGGATAAATTATTTTACTTATGACATACATTCGGCAAAATTGTTTCTGCAAAAATATTTGCTGATTTTGGTCAAGTTTCCATAACCTTCTGCTGATTGTTTTTATTTATTGCTACAGTATTCACTACAAATATCTGAAAACTGCGATTTGATTTCAAACGTTATATCACTGCGGATATCTGCTCATTTTTCATCCTAAGATTTTCTGAAGATCACGGTTTTAGTCTTAGTTTATGCGTGGTTTGCAATGAATTCCCTGAAGAATGAAAAACTATCAGAAAGCGTGATTGATTTGTCAAGATATATTTTGCTTTTAACTCTATTATAATAGAAAAAGCCATCTTCTGAAAGAAATCTTCAGGAAATGAAAAAATAGCTGCTTTCCTGCTCTGAAGTGATTAAATGTCATTGAGTGGATTTGGGTTGGGTGGGAAGGGGGTTTGGTTGTGGAAATCTTGATCAAACCTTGTGAATGTTTAAAAGCAGCAAATCAAGTGTTCTGTTCATTCATTCAATACAACAGTGTGTATATCCAAAAACATGAAAAAAGGTTTCCTTTCAGAAACAAAACAATATGTTGTGTAGGAGACTACTGCAGTTTCTTTAATTTTTTTGTAAATTTAAACTTGCTCATTTAGGCACAAATCTTGTGGCATCCATGATCCACTGTAGATTCAATCAAGTTCTACATATGTAGTCCAATCTTTTCATGTCTACTCCCTTCACAGGGAACTTTTTGAGTGGAGAAACCAGCATTTCTGGTGAGAAAACAATGAAGAGGTACAGAAAGTTTAAATTGACAATTTTCTAGTCTTTGTGTGGTACAAATGAACTGCCAAAGTACTGATATTTGAGGCAGGGGCACATTTGCTCAATTAGCCTCTCACTTCCTTTTGCAAAACATTATTTAACATTCATAGCTCTTCCCTTTTGCAGGTATTCCAGGATATTAGTGCAAGGTCCTCTAGAACTTTGAGTTATAATAGATGATTTCGTGGGGAAACATGTCAGGCAAGTCAATAAAACATTATTCTTGAGGGAATTGTCACAGGAACTGGACAAAAATCCAAATTAAAAATATTTGACTTGACTAGGTATCAGGAGGGGGTTTGGATGCGGGAGTTCTGGTTATTCCTTGTGAACGCTGAAAAGTGGCAAATAAAGTTTTCTGTTCATTCATTCATTCATTCACTAGGTATCAAATACAGTGTTACCTTGTACAGCAAATGTAATTCCTTTGAGCAGTGTCCCCCAACACATGGTCCACAGACAAAAGCTGGTCTACAGAATTGTTTTGCAGGAATTGCAGGAAAATTTCTTCCACATAATAAATTTAATTGAAGTTACAAGTAGGTCTTTTATTGCAATCCAAATTTTTGGAGACAATGGCAGCTGAAATTATCTGATGGAAAAAACATTGTTGGTTTTACACCTAATAGCAATTCAAGCATATTTCAACTTGCTCAAATATGTTACCTCCAGTTTTCATCCTGAGAAACCTTTCTTCCAGGCCAGCATTCTATTTTTTACAAGACATTTCCCCTTTGTAGCTGCTTCACAGTACCTCAACTTAATTTTTGCAAAAAAAGATTTATTCTGAGGACTGTATAGCAGGTATTTTAAATGTTTCTGCTGTTCATCAAAAATTGTTTGGAAGGTGGCCAGTCTGCTAAAAATTTTATGAAAATGTGCCAGTCCGCGAAGGATTTTATTTAAATTTTCTGGTCTGCAAGCCTAAAAATGTTGGGAACACACTGCTTTGTAGAGCATTATGTATGTGGCATGATTTGTTAATTATACAAATGAAGTTAACATTCTGGGTAGGAAAAAATTGCACCACAAATGCTTGTTCTCCAGGATTTTTGTAGCATGGAGTTTTAGTATACTAAGAGTTATCCCATTATAGGTACATGTGCATGAAAACACAATGTACAATTTTAACTACAAAACTTGAGGTACTTGGCCCTGATGGGAGTTTTTTTTTTTTTTTAAGCAAATCTTTCACAAGTCAGCCAACAGGAGAAACTTTGGTACCACTGCGAGTACTACCACTTTAGACTTGAATCATGGATCATGAGGGGACACAGCTCCTGATACCTTGGTACCTTGTGCAGCCTCCAGCAAAGATGCAGTAGCCAGCATGGTGAGTGAGCCTGAAAATGATGAAAAAAAGTGAAGATGAAACATTTGCAACAGGCTTCATTAAAAAACATTTTAAACATGCACATGGACACTCAAATCTTGCTTTAAAAAATACCCATCTAAAGAAATTCCTCATTTCAACAAAATGTCTCTCAAGTGCTGCCAGAAAGCCCATGAGGTTCATATTAAAACCATCTGGTTCTAACAAAGTTCTCAATTCAGTATACCAAACTTTGCTGAGGAATGCTTGATAGATTCTTCAGGTAGAAATTTCCTGACTTAGGCAATCACAGTCTAAATTTCTGAGCCCAAATGTGACTGACTAGTTCTTGTAGCCTGGATTGAAGCTTTAACTATGACAAACAGGTCTCCAAGGGGTTCAACACATCATCTTCCCAGAATGAACAAGTTGGTGCAACTGTTGAAATGCATGCTTGAAGCTATTTTTCTTTTCAGAAGATCACTCATTTTTCAAACAATAATAAAAATCTGAGAAAACCAGAAAAGCCAGATTTAATCCAATACTGGCAGCAGCAGGTCTGATGTGAAAATTGTTTTGAGTCATCATTTTGAAAGTCATATTACAGTATTGTATAGAAAATCATTCTGCTGAACAAACTTCTTCTGAAGTCCTTTGTTTTAACAGGATTTTACAGTACTTTGTAACAATATTCAAGCATTACAGTTGCAATTTTGAGATATACTGTATTTGTGAGTTGCACCTACATGCAATTTCTGAAAGTGAATATTCCAAATTTCAACCACAAGAGCATGAGGGATACAATATTCGATCTTGGTACAAATAAGCAATTGAAAATCTCAATATAAGAAATTATTCTGCTCAACAAACTTCTCTGAAGTCCGCAAAATTTGATTTTTCCAAAATGTAACAGTACAGTATAAGGACTACCTTATTGAAGCATCAGCTGTGCAATGTCAAAACTTGAGTTTAAGTTCAGTTTGTTGAAAATAATGCTGAAAATTGATAATCTAAGAGTATGAGGCAAACAAATCCACAGTTGAAAATTTGAAGGCATAATTTTAACAAAGTTTCTGCAAAAGAAACTTTTCTGAGATCACCAAATCTTTGTTTTTTTTTTAGATAAAAAAAACTCCTGTATTCATCCAAGCATGTCTTTTGCAATGTCAAAAAATTTTTTAAAAGTTACTTTGCAATTTTTGAAATGAATTTGGATTCTAAGAATGTGAATTTCCAAATTTTGAAATTTTGATTAGAAATTGCAAATTTTGAAATTTTAATTAGAAATTCCAAATTTCCAAAAATGAATTCTAAGAACATGAAGGACACATACATTTTATAAAGTTACAAACAAACATTTGAAAATGGGATTATGGAAAATTTTGCTCAAAAATAAAAATTCAGTAATTCTTGGAAATCCACAAAAGTTTAGGTTCTTCACAAATTCATGGACTACCTCATTGAAGCATCACCTTTTCAATGTCAATACATGAATATGAATTTTTCAAGTTTGTTGTATTGAATGTTCCAAATTTGAACTCAAAGAGCTATGAGGGATACAAGTTCGTACTTTTGAGCTTGTTAATCTTGTTATACACAAATATTTGAAAATCTCATTATGAAAAAATTTTTGAGCGTAGAAAACTTTTTCTGAAGTCAGGTTTTCCTAAATTTTACACCAAAAAAACCCTGCAGTCAAACATAACTTTTGCAATCTCAAAAAGTTATGGTACGTTTTTTTTTTAAATCGGTTATTGAAGTGAATTTTCCAAATTCAAATTATAATCATATGGATGGTACAGAAATTTTATTTTGCTGCAAACAAGCATTTGAAAATCTCTCTATAAAACTGTTATTTCCCCATGATATCGATATTTTTTCTGAAGTGCTTAAAAGTTTGTTGAAACAACATTCGACTGATTTTTTTAGTTTTCTATAATGTATATTCACCTCTTGTGTCCTCTGGGGATGCAGGGAAGAGGACTGGCATGGTGGTGGCTGTGGTACTGGCGTTGGTGGTGGTGGTCTCCAGCACCACCACTTTGGAAGAGATAATGGGACCTTGTCTAATGTCGCGGACGGGCGCCGGTGGCCTTCTGGTCGCGTCACCTTTTTCCAATGGCGCCGTTACCGCTGCTGATGGTGCCTGATGGCGCCCAGAGCCACTGTCGGTGCTGCTGCTTCTGGTGGACGACCTGCAGTCGTCAGACGGACTCCAGGGCTCGCACTTGATCAGCAATGCTTCTTTATCACATTTCTCATCTGTCAAAGAGAGAGAGATAGAGAGAAAGAGAGAGAGAGAAACAAGAAGATGAATATATTTTGCATCATTTCAATATCATAAACCCTGGGCTGAACAAACTTTTGGTTTACAGGAAAAATCCCTTTTTGGTCAACAAGCAGCTTTATTGTTCTACAGGGAAAAAATCAGAAATTTGAAGATTCAAAATTCGATTTGATGAAGCTGAAATTTATGGTACAATCTAAGCACAAATAAGTCATTCCCTCTGCATTCATGTGGAAATTCTTTCCTCAATCCTGGCCCTTTAATATGTGCAAACTTGTGTTTTAAAAAGAATTGCAGCTACAGTGTTCAGATATGCTTTTCTGTGACAGAATGATTTGCTTTTCCTTACTTGGTTCATTTTCAATTTTCAGAAAGGTACTGTACATTTGATCTTTACAAGCAGCATTAGAAAAGATTCCATTATAACATCCTGACATTTACTTTTCAGCGTTTTTTTTCTCAGTATGTGAAGCTTTTCTTTATTTTAGTTTTCATCAGTGCTACTTCCATGTAATACATGCAAAAGCATCCTGGGCACATATGTAGTAACATGTAGCAACAACTCATTCTGATTACAGTTGATCGTCTTTAATTTTTTATATTGAATGTTGAATTTTTTTTTGGTTCATGGAATTTATTAAGTTCTTACACAATAATGTCTTTGAGAAAATTAATTTTGGTTAGAAAATTTCCAGTTCACCAACTTTTGCCTGGAACCAAGAATTGGAGACCTGCTGCCAAATTCAGTGATCACATGATTTCCTCTATAATGGAGGCAACTAAAGAGGTCAAATGCATTTTAGTGAAATTGTCAAAGTGCCAAACTGCTAAAATGTGTGCTAATGTCTGGAAAGGCTGAGAATGGGCAAAAGTCATAACAGGCCTATTGACAGTTTAGTAGAATTTTACAAGATTAATGTTGGCCTATTTTCTCCAAACACATTTCCAGCAAGTATAGTAGTGTCACCAAAAGAATTAGCTACAGTGTCCTATGTCATGTGTATAATACTGCTCTCTACAAATGCAATGTCTGCATAGCAACTTGCTGCCCCAAAGCAGACGAGGACACCAAGTGTCCTAGATGCACTGTCTGGTCCCCGGTCATTTGCCCGGCCCCCTTTCTGTTTTCCCCGTTTGAGTTGCACAAGTGCGTCTGGTTTGTTCCAAATCTATAAAGGTACCACAAAGTGTATGTGTTGGTATTCATTGCTGGTTTGACTCTTGTTGGTTACGCTCACGGAAATATATATACGTATTCACTTAAGGAGAAGTCTAGATTCACTTTTACCCCAGCCATAAAGAATTAGAAATCTTCTTGACAGAACGTTGTCCTGGAAGGAATTGAGTTTTAGATTAATTGCGTAAGAAATGAAGACGTTTCTTTCTGCACTAAAGTGTCTTGAGTTTTATTCTTTAGCCGATTTAGGATAACAGTAGTTTGATTACTCAGCATTTCTAGGTGAGGGAAATTACAGTACATTGAAAGAATTGAAAAGCCATGACTCATGTGCAGTACTGTGCATGCAGACATGGTGTATGTTTGCAAAACAATCAGTTATTTCTGAATAATTATTCCTGATGACGTTCACCTTCAACATTGAGATTTGCTGCATCAGCAGTGGGACTGTGGCAAGGTGACTTGTTGTTGTTGGACTTGGTAGACACCAGATGTCTCTTCCTACTGTTGCCACTACTGCTTTTCCTGATGTTGATTGCTGTGTGGGCACCATTTGCTGAGTCAGTGGTGCTCTGGCGGTGGTCTTTCCTGTTGAGGTCCCCTGACTCAGACTCAACTGGCATCTTCTCCATCAGAGCCATGAGGATGAGCAGTGTGTGTGAATAATGAGACAGACACTTTTATCTCGCATCTTCTCTTCCTGATGGTGATGGAGCCACGCGGATTCCCGAAAAGGTACCACCGGCACCAGCACCTGCACCACGACTGCGACCACAGCAGCGAGGCATTCATTCATTCACACACAAACGCAATCGCGATTTTGCAACTCTTTATATGTTTTTTTGGTGTTGTTCCAAATTTTGTCACTCACTGTATCACATTCACTGTTAATTGAGATAGTTGGAAGGGAAAAATACGATTCTGAATTTGTAATTTCTCCATGGTTTTTTTTTTTGAAATTCAAAACAAGCAAGAAATAAAATTTATATAGGTGGTTGCTTTTTTGTATTATGATGGTATTTGATTTGTAAAAAACATTATCCTTTTGTGGCTTCACATCTTGAAACTGTCAAAGCTCTTGAAAAATTCCTTTTTTATTGAACATGATTAAGCAGTGCCCATTGCAAAGCCCACCTGCCAATTTATTATCACAAAAAATGCAAAGTCATGTAATGTGTTCATTTTAAACCAGCAATAGTTTTCTGGATATGCCTCAATTGTGAATTGTACAATACAAGAAAAAATTCAAAAGGATCACTGGAAAATTGCACGTTGAAATAAGTTGTGAGTGAAAAAGCCTTGAGGGGTAATTAAAGTGGAAGTCTGAGGGGAATATGTGATATTTTTTCCTGAAATCTTTTACAGTTTGTGACAGCTAGTTTCCTCATCAGAAATTTTAATGAAGGGTCATAAAAACTCATTGATGATTAATGCTGTACCATTTTTTTTTTGGTTTTGGGACAATATTTTCAAATTTATTCAGGAAAATGCCTGAAGTATTTTCAGAACCCATAGCCTGTATAGCCTTGTTGTAGATTTCATCCATAACTCTTCAATTTTTTATTCTTTTGAAATTAGAAAATTGTGCTTAGCATTCAGGCCAAAAGAATTCCTGACAAACACAAGTAATAATTTCCAATGGACAACATACATACAGTGAGACCCCCAGATGTGGACATATTTGGAGCATCAAGAGTGTCCCTAAGTTGAGTTTTGTTTTCCCATAGACTAGCATTATGTGATTTTTAATTGGTGTTTCATGGAAGAAATATTTTCCAGAAATTCATGAAAAAATGATTGCCACTTGAATTTGTTTCATTGTATATATATTTTCAACCCAATAAGAACATTTGGAGCATTGAATCGTATACCACTGCTAGGTTCACTGAAATGTTGGCATCTGTAAAAATAACATCCAAGTCACAAAGAGAGAAGGAAGTCCCACTCTGCTATGAGCAATTTTTTTAAATCAGCTGCAGGGATGGGAAAGTGATGGGAAAAGTGCCAAAAAATTTGTATTGCATAGAGCTTAGGGTTGGAAATATCTGTTTCTTGCAATTAAGCCTAATAAAAGTCAATTTTCTTAAAATTTTTTGGCAATTTTATCAAGTCTGTTGAATTGTTGCCTTGTCAAGGTGTCCACATGTCAGGGTCTCACTATATGAAATCAACCCTCAATTTAATGCCCCCTGACTTACTGACACTGTCACATAGTGCCACCAATTTCCCTGGAACAGATTTCCCTTAATTTTTTCTCATAAGGAAAACCCTGATTTAGTGCAGGCTTACCTAAAGTGCCACAAAAAATGCCATATGTCCTGGATGAGAAATGGGCCAAAGACTAAAAGAAAATAAAAACTTTTTTACAGGTTTTGATTGAGATTCCATGTGGATCACATGCCCATGCAAAAAAAAACTCAGAATAATTCTTTGAATTCTTATTCGGAGCATACAGACTTGAAACAAATTGTTTGAGTTGAATGACACTTGTCTTCATTAACAATTTGAAGAGAAAATTTGAAACGCTGGGGATTCATGGAACTTTATATCAATAATATAACTAAAACAAAGCTTCAGAAAACAGCTCCCCACTTAAATTGGACACACATCATTGAAGAGTAACATTAAATTTAGAATAGAGTATATTCTATCCTATCAAATAAATTGAAATACAATGTCAGTGGAGCACACTTCAGCTTTAACATTTTTCTTGTGGCTTTCTTTTTGATGAAACAGGCCCAAAATCTGTAGACAAGCTCATTTTGCCAAAACACACACAAACACAAAATTGTTCCAACTGAGCATTAATAGGACATGTAAATCACCAACAGAACACCAAAATGGGCATAAATTGTCACAAATTAGACTTGCTGGGTACAGTCTTCACACACCCTTGCCATTTCAGCATACACACTGTGACACACCATATCACTATACTGTATATACTATTTCACTACATCCACAAAGTAAAGCCATTGTAAGAGTGACAGGATTCATGAATATGTCACTAGCCAGAATCCATTGAAAGCCACTGACAAAATATAAATATGAAGAACTAAGCGATCAATCCCTAATCAGACTTGAATTTCTAGTGAGTCTTTGAGCAATCACCAGGAAATTTAAAACAGTTTAAACACATCCAAACTTGAAACAGTTTGCCTCCAACTTCTCTTTGATAAATTCCCCAATGGTTTAGTGACATTATATTAAATGGGGACTACAGGACAATGTTGTCAGAAAAAAAATTGGGAAAAAGTTTTTTATACTCACTGAACAAGTTGTTATAGCAAGATTTTTAAAATGTATGACAAGAAAAAATGTAACATGAGACCTTCCTATAATCATTTTGATCTGGTTTTTCTGGCATCCACAATTTTTATTAATATGTAAAAAAAAAACTGAGTAATTGTTTGAAGAAGCAAAGCTTCAATCATACATTGAATACACACATTCATTCATCATCATACATTCATTCATTCCATCAGTGGCTTGTTTCTTGCAAATGAGTTTGTCATTGATTACAGCTTCCATGAAATACAAGGATTAGTCAGTCATATTTTGGATCAGAAACTATAGACTGGGCCAGTCTTAGGAAATGCTTACCTGGACAATCTCTATTCAACATTCATCATAGCAGTTTGTTAAACTGCAATTGGAATTTTATTATAACATGATTGTGTTAACATGTACTCAATGGACTTTCTGCCAGGACTTGAGACACATTTTGTAATACCTTACAGAAAACATTTGTTGGAATGTTATCAATTGTAGCAAGATTTTACCTAATGAAATTCTTTAACTAATCCATGAAATATTCAAAAGATTACCTTTAATGCCCTCCATGCTGAAGGGTTTGGAAATTTGTGAAAATCCTCTGGTTTAATTACACCAGAAATATTTTTTCACTCTCACAAATTAGGCAATATACACAAATCTAACTGAAAAGGTGCCTCATAAATTTGAGTTTTTCTGTGTTGCCACTTCCTGTCTTGGTTTTTATTTCTTTGGAAAATTATGCATGTGATGCAGTGAGTGCATCATCATCATCATCAACTTGGGCGCGGACAAGAAATCAGAATCCACTAATATTTCTTTTTTTCATAAGGACTGAGAAAAAACAAAGAAGAATGTAGACAAGCAGAGCGATGTACTCTGAAGATAGGTAGGGGAAATATACCTATAGTTATGTGTATATATGCAGGACTTTTACTGTAGATAGTACAGCAGTATGGCAGAGTGGTACACTAGTATGCATAGTACAGTAAAGTATATATGTCTTTTTTTTGCCCTACTGTGTGCATATCTTTCTATCCATCCATCCATCCATCCATCCATCCATCTTTCCATCTACCCAACTTATCTGCATGTGCATCTCTATCTTTGCATCTATCTGTATATGCACCTATCTATTCCATCATCTTTCTGTGCTCCATTCTGTTCCTTCCTCATTCCACCAACAGGAGCATATTATTTATAGCCCTGTGGTCCTTATTTGCGGTCGGGTTGATGCATCAGGAGCAGGAGAAGCAGAAGCAGAAGCACATGGGGGCCAGAAAGAGAGAGAGAGAGAGAGAGAGGGAGAAAGATAAGATCCATCCGGCGTCGTTATCTTATCTGATGCCCTGGGAAGAACAGGGCTGTCCCTGTCAACCTTTATCTCACTCACTCACTATATACCAGCACCAGGACCAGGAGCAGCAGCAGCAGCAGCAGCCAAAACCCATCTTCTTATTCTCATGTTCCTGTGCTGCATACTTATATTTTATACAGGGTTGTCTCACAAGAAGAAGAAGAACAAAATCTGACTTTTCAAGGAAGGTTTTATTTATTTATTTTATTTTTTTTTGAAACAAAAGACAAGACCATCACCATCAGCTGTGTGACAATTTGACTCAAATAAGGCAAGTATGTTTGATTGCCCATTTGTTGCAACTAATAATTCAAAGATTTCGAAATTGTGATGAGAAGCATAACATTTTGTTGCACACATCAAAGAAAATTGGCACACTTCCAGCAGATACTGTCAAATGACTGAAAAACTCAAAATCCCCTCTTCTTTTCTTCGATTTAAAAGTCTGGATTACTTTTAGAATAAAAATACTATTAGGAGAAAGACCAGGTACGTGACAATTCGACTCAATAAGTATTTAATTGTACTTTTCAAAAGTGCAAAAAAGTGGACTTGCACTTTTCAAACCAAATCGTCAATTTAATATAGAATTTCATGTTCATTCTTTTACTTTGAAAGTCAGGATACAAAAATAGGAACAAGAAAGCTGCAAACAATTGACGCAGTGGAAAATATTTGTATCTTGACTTGCTCTTTTTTTTAAATTATCTTTCAAGTAAATTGTAACAAAAATGAAATTGTAGATTAACACCTCCCTCCAAAAGTTGATTCCTTTTTTAAATAATTAAAGAAAACTGGCGATTCAAGAATTTGAAAACAATAAGAAGCTTTTAACATTGTATTTGCTCACACCAAGCAAATGAACACATTTTCAGCATATTGTGGAATAAGTGGAAAATCCTGAAAAGTTATCAATGTGCATTTCTCATTCATTCTGCGTCCCCAGAAAATATGGCTTTCAGATCTCAAAACGATAACAAATATACCTAGAATATCAGCACATAGAGAATACAAAATTTTTAAAATTTGATTTGAACTTTCACCAATGTCAGATATGTATGAGTTATTTGCACCATTGGGACCATCTTCATATTGTATAAAGAGTTCAAGGAATTATTTCTGTAGAATTTGCTTCTCAGAAAAAAAAAAGAACACAGGATGGGTAA